AGACCTTGACTTCCTTGCTCTTGGGGAGTTGGATGCTAGTGCTGTGAAATGAAATATCTTGTTCACTGAAACTTATGCAATTAGCTTGGTGTATCAGGAAAATCATTCATCAGATTGAGACTTTAAAAAGTTAGAGAATAACAATTTTAAAAATCCTGATTACTTAAAAAAAGAGCATTGTTTCTTATACTTATGACTACATAAAAGTCTGCAGTAAAAAGTATCAAGAGAATGTACACTGAATCATTCTTGAATCACAGGGATCCAAATATCATGTAGGGGTTCTTGTAACTAGAAGGTCAGGGAACCAGGTTCAAAACTCACTTTTAACCTTACTTATTCAGAGAGTTTCTTGAGATCTCTGAGCATCCTCATCTTCAACACAGGATCACAAAATCACAGAGGTAGAGAAGAAACTGAGATGGAAGGGACCCACAAGGATCATCAAGTCCAACTCCTGCCCCTGCACAGCGTGACTCACACCACGTGCCCAAGAGCACTGTCCTGGTTACTTTGCATTTTTGAGCTCTGTCAGGCTTGGTGCTGTGACCACTTCCCTGGGGAGCCTGTTCCCGTGCCCAACCACCCTCTGGGTGAAGAACCTTTTTCTAAACTCTAACCTAAATTTTCTCTGACACAACCTCATGCTAGGGAGCAATAGGCTGGAGAGCAGCCCTGCAGAAAGGGACCTTGGGGTCCTGGTCGATGGCAAGTTGACTATGAGCCAGCAGTGCCCTGGCAGCCAGGAGGGCCAACCTTGTCATGGGCTATCTAAATTTACGGCTATCTAGCCACATACTACTATGAAGTTTACCACAAATCAGATTTTGAGTTGGCTTTCTAGGTAATTTCTGTTTTGCTTGAATTTGTAGATGTAGAAAAAAAGAAATAGCTTGTTTCAGTTGCTGCTGGGGACAGCACACAGCTAAGTAAAGCAGAGAGAGGCACCAGCATGTGAACTGAAAATTTAATAATTATATAAAAAAAGTTTTAAATGTTAAATTTAGTAAGCACCTATGTTTATACCTATGTGTGGATGTGTACACACACATGTATGTACATGTGATATTGCTGTTTTATGGAAAGACATAAATTGAGAAAGAAATCCATGTCTGCAGATATCTAAAGCAAAGAATCTCAGTGCAGTCATTGTGTATTGATTAGTTAATTATTGATCACTTCACTTTGCAAGGGTGATCCTGGCAATGTTCCATCTAGGGGAAAAAATTCACTGGTGGAAGGAAATAGGTGTTTACCCTGTAAATAAAGGCCATTGATATAAAATATTATCTCTTTACAAGTTGTTGCAACAAATTATTTCTCTCTACAGCTCATACATTACATACCCTAACAAAGTCAGGCTAAAAATATCAAAAATAACAAGCTCTACCAAGCACAGGAGCTATATAGATCACATGCATCAACTAGAAAATGCTGGTGCAAGAACTCTCTGATGGTGTTTTTTTGTGATAGCTGAAGGGATATTTGAGAAGCTGCCCCTTTCTCTCCTGCTCAGGACAGAAAAACACTAAGGTGATGGGATGTAAAATCTTCCCCACCCTGAGGCACCTCAGCAAAAAAGCAGCTAAAGGAAGCCTGAGTTACTTGCCTCAATTTACTAAAAATAGTGCTTTTAAGTGCCGAAAGAAAAAGAAGCTGCAGAAGAGAAGAAAGAAGCACTGTCAGTTGCAGTGTACTGTCAAGAGAACATGCTTGTTCAGTCGAACCCTTTGAAGGGAAAGCAAGGATATAAATGTATATTGCATTACTGACACTCAGCTGGATATCCTACACCTATGAGTTTTAACACATATCTGACTTTGCAATGTTTGTGGTGCCTTTCCTTCTCTGTTTATTTCCCTTTCAAGTTTTTGCTTTCACAGCTGACTTAATTTTTGTACTCTGTCTTATATTTCTCATTGTATGGTCATTTGTCATTTGTTCCTAGTCTTTCCTAGTTAATATCTTGGGTGTTCTACATTAAGCTATCTTCAGAAAGGATGGAGATGCTGTATCTCCCAGAAGCCAGCACACAGAACATTAATAGTTGTTGCAGGCAAAGCTGCATGTTCCGTATTTTCACTCAGCATAACAATTTTACTCTCATTGCTCCACTTGAAGCTATATCACTGACACAGATCTGTCATCTCTCCAGTAAAAAAGCCCAAACTTACAACAACATGAAGATGCAAAGCACTATTGTCCTCAATATTGATAAGTCTGGTATCCTGGGAGAGCACAAAGCAGCTGTCTCTGGGCATATGGGACAGTGAACTGCTACTCAAGAGGAGGGGATGGGGAGAGGAACTAGATAAAGCTCTGTGCAGAAAAGATTAAGTCAAAATTAAGTTGGGAGAGAAGTAAAATAAAATAAAATAAAATAAAATAAAATAAAATAAAATAAAATAAAATAAAATAAAATAATAAAACAAAATATTGTTCTGGTAAGCTCCAAAGTTCAGTTTCAGGAAAAAACAAAAAAATTCCAGGAGGGTTCTTTTACTATGCTCATGTTGAGAAGTCATTGCCCAAATAACTATTTTGTTTGGAGTCAATTCTGTCTCATTTGCTCAAAATGAGGAAAGTATTTTAGATAAGTCATAGTGCTGGCACTAAAAAAAAGAAAAAAAGAATTACTTAGAACAACAAGATGTCTGAAAATCTTAAAAAATATTTTGTCATTAATTCCCATGACAAAATATTTTGTAATAGCTTTAATATTTTTTATGATTTTACATCACAAAGGGAAACCCATATTTACACTTTGCTGTGCAAACATTAATTACTTAATTTCTTAATTTGTTTTATTTTGGAAAGCTCTTACTGTTTCCACCATTTGCCAGAAGTCTATTATACTGTTAACAAAATACCATACATTTTTGAACTGCTTATATTTGTGTTCAGCAATAAGTTCAGTAAAATCATATTTACATATTTTTAGTAAAAGGATCATTTCCTTTGTGAACAAAAATAAAAAACTTTTAAAGATGTGAACCAATTGGCATGACTATTACTCTGTTACATAATTCTGAGGTTGGATTTTGCTACTGAAACATAGTGACTGCATTTTCATATTAAAAAGTACTTTTTTTTAAAAAGTCACATTTGTTTTACTCTTAGTCACAATAGGATCACATGGAGTGAGTGTATAGTTGTTAGGATGCATTCCTTAGATGTAATAAAAGGCTTTTTAATCGCTGTAAAAGTTCACTTGACTGAGCTTTTTAAGCTGGTATGGCCATGGCAAGAATCATTATACTTCATGTACACTACCCTCTTCTCAGAAGTAAAATATTTTTCTTCAAAAAGAGTGAGAGACACTTCCCCTCAAGCCTTCATAAAACAATCTGTCAGGTCAACTTCAGAGCATTTTCTGCATTTCTCTCTTCTAAAAGTCTGTGGTTAACTTTACTCTACTTTCACTGAATAAGACTTATTTATCAGTATCTTCATAAGAAAATACCATCTTTTTTAGAAGAAACATAGACTGCCTGGGACTGAAGGGTCATCCAGTCAAAGCCCCCTGCAATGAGCAGGGACACTGACAACTAAATTAGGCTACTCAGAGCCCAATTCACCCACTCTTCAAATGTTTCCCAGGGAAAATCACAACTTCTCTGATCAGTTATGAGGGCTATGAAATTGATAGAAACAACAAAAAATATGGTATAATAAAAGAGTGAACTTCAATCTCTTGAAAAAAACAAAATTCAAATGCAAAATTCAAAATGAAAATTCCATCTTCTAGTCCCTGAATTTGGTAGAAAATTTGATTATTTCTATAAAATAGAGGCAATGTTACTCTTTTTTTTCTTTTTTTTATCTTAAAATAATTTCAATGCAACTCAAATAATTCAACAAATCTGTAAAATGGTCTTAAAAGATTCATATTCAGGAAAATAAGTCACAGTGGTACCCCTTGCAACAATATCAGATAAAGAATACCATAAAAGGACAGTGATAGTTTATCTCTTATGCCAAATCTTGCAAAGGTCTTTAGTTTATATAAAACTGTTATCCATATAATTGATAATTTCCATGAGATCTTAAGACAGAAAGTTTATTCCTGAACTGTACATTCATAAGTCCCTCATCAATAAATTTCTTTGTTCAGAACTTTTCCCAGGGAAATAGTTTCATCTGAATTGAAAAATTATATATAGTTCTTTGAAAGCAGTTTGGGAAAGAAAAAGAATGTGGAAATTATTACAGAATTGCAACTTTCAATGTTGTAACTACCACAAAGAGCTTGCTTTCTTATGTTTTAAAGAAATAAGGTTGACAACATTTATTGCGGAAACTAAGGCATCTGATATTCCAAAGAGACATTTCTAGTTCAATCACATGTTTAGTTTAAAGAAAAGTCATCTTCATTCTCTGGTTCAAGAGAACCATATTAATCATTTCATAGAGTAGCCAGGTATTAATACAATATTAAATATGTGTTTGAGCTCAATGCATCATGTCCATCAAAAACTTATGCTAGATCTATCAGAAAACTGGAAGCAGTGTACTGAATATAAAATTCAAAATGCTATTTTTGTAGAGGTTATCAGGGACTTGCTATTGTAACAGGCAACTAGAACAGAAACAAGTTTCTGTAGTTTTTTCAGAGCACATTCACTGAATATAATAATCTACCTTTGCAACAGATGTGATAAATATAAACTCAATATAGCTCAGTGACCCTACTTTTACTGTTTCCATAAAATGTGATTAAAAGATCCATGATATATTAGAAAAACAGTCTCTCTTCAGTGTTTGAACAAAAAATGGAATAATATGGCAATATTACCAGTAAAATCATCCAGACTAGATTATATAAAATAAATCTCTTAAAGGAACTAATATTTCAGACAAGATAGAGTTGTTCCTGTAATTTATTTTAAAGATTAAATATAGGATTCTTAAGTGACTTTTATAGATAAAAGTAAAGGAAAATATATATGACATTTCATTTCTAGTGCTATAGACAAGATGTAGATAAATATTCTCTAGAAGTGAATTATGCAATGTTACAAAAATAGCTTTTATTAAAAATAGCCTGTCTGCTTAACAAAGAATTATAGGTCTACTACTAGTTCTAATACCAGTAAGAATTTACAGTAGGAAGAAGAAACCTGAGTTTACGACAGCAAGCAAAATTGCCAGATAATTTAAATACAATATAATAAACTAAACTCTGAGAAACCGTGGTGATCTTAAAAAAAAAATTTAAAAAAAAAAAAAAATTAGAAGATTTATTCAAGAACAGTTTGGAGGAGTCAAGAGAATGAGTAGGCAAGGCATAAAATACTCAAGGCTCAAGCTGAATTTCAATAATAGGAAAAAGACCAAAATTCTAGTGGCTGAACACATAAATTAGGCACACCTTGGATGACTAACCAAAGGAGGTGGATGAATACAAACTCAATATAAGAATTTTCCGTTTAAGGTTTTGCTAGTATTTTATTCTAACAGTAGATATAAAAGATTTTCAAGGAAAGAACTAGAATTGTGTAATAGGCAGTATGAATTTTACCATGGAATCCATTAGATTGAACAAAATTCATTTGACTAAGTGAAATTATGCACAGATTAGAAAGATTTCCTTTTGTATACATTGTTATACATTGTCATTTTAATTTGGCAATTTGTTATTTTTTATTAGCTTTCCTGCTAATCATTTGGTTTGATCATGTTCAGTTTTGTGGGGAACTATTAAATCTCAGAGGTCTTCCACATGACATACAATATTTTTACTATAATTAAATCCTATTTTTAAATAATTATCTCTCAAATTCCACATGAGGAAAAATACAGTGGACAATTATGATGTAAATTTTAAATATGAAAATTACTAAACTACTAAAGGATTATTAATATTTCCTACAGCATTTTCTGAGGGCCCATTTCACTCACCTGAATAGCAGTACTTGGACAACCAGCACACTGAGATGCTCTAAATTTTCAATTGAAACTTTAAAACCTATTTGTCTTCACAGTTCACTTGACTTAGATTTGCTTTTTTTCACACAGAAGAGGTGTCTAGACTTCTCAGGTTCATTTTAAAGGGTATTTAAGCTTAAAATTAAACTATGTTTTGATTTAGAAGGAAGAGGTTATGTTTCTGAACATTTTGAAAGATAACAAACTTTAGGGAACTAGAAAAAGGAAAAATAAACCAAGGAATTAGATTTTTTTTGCTGGTTTGTTGTGGGTTTTCTGGGTTTTTTGTTATTCTTACCCATTGGATTTACCTCTAGCTGTTCCAGGTTTCCCCAGGATTAAACAAACATGGAGTTTTGTCTGTTCAATATCACTCCAACCTCATAGTACTTGAACCTCCTTGACGCTAGGGCAGCTAAAGCTCTTGTACCTTCTTGGTTCCTCAAATACAGAATTCTTACTGTGTCCAAAATGATCTTTCAGATCTGTTTTGCACACACTTATGCAGCTCCAGTAACAGAGAGAACTACTGATGTCCTCATTCTTTATTCTTTGCTTTTGTGTTCCAAACTGTTGATTTAACAAATAGAACTTTTGTCATCCCTGTGGCCTTCTCAAGATTTACCCTTCCAGTGTGTCCAGCAATTACTACTTTGCTTTCAACTTTAATGACCATAAGATTTGATGTCTGTGTGTTTGTCTTTCCAAAATCATAGCTTCTGGTTTACTTTGACAGTATTTTAGAGACTATAAATGATGCGTTAGAAAGAAATTTCTGTATTGAGAGCAATTTTTCCCATTCTCCTTTGCACTGTCTAATAATTTTAGAAAGTCATGCCATCAGGTTTATGCACTTAAAATATATCAGAGAGTTATTTCTACCTTTATGTATTTGCCAGTTAAGTGATATTTATTGACTAGAAATGTAAAAGTGTAAGCTCTTTAAAAAAAAAAGAAAAACTATTTCAGATCTCCTGAATTAATGATAAAACATTTTAAAAGTGACTAAATATGTTTATCAACTTTGTTTATTCCAATTTTCAACCTACAAAACAAACCTAAATGTCAAATTAAAACCTTATGAATTTCAGAAACTGAGGCAGGAACCAGAATAACTAGGTGAAAGAGCTAAAACTCGACTGAGCACTATTTATTTCTTGCTTCTCTGTTGTCTTTTTTTTAAGCTTTCAGTAGAAAACCAGATACTAGTACAAGAAAATATTAAGTTACCCTAAAGGAAGCATCAGATCTCTTTTTTAATGAAGAACTTATTAAAAGGACAGAGGGAGCCCAGACCATCACATCTATCCAAGAAGGTGCAGGACAAACAGCTCACATTGTTACAGAAGCAATACCAAAGCAACATTCATTCTGCTGACCATCTCAGGTGAGGAAGCTCTAAAACCAGACTTGTTTCCAGAGGGCATAGCATCACCAGTTTTAAAAATTCCCTTGAATGAAAAATTTATCCTTTATATGCTAACGGATTCAGTAAAAAGATCAACTCAGTTAATAAAAGTAAGAATAGAAATGGAAAACCAGAGGGCAGAGGTATCATAAGTGACTTTATGAATAGAAAGAGTAAAAATAACTGTCAAAGAAAGTGCTACCCATTCTCATTATAAAACACATCTCTCAGATACTCTGGCTTGAGGAAAGGTATGTGATGGAAGAAAAGAAGATTAATTTTTGCCACCTGACTGATCATGTCTGACAGACTAGTTTGTCAACACAACATGTGAAATAGTAAACATTTTAAGTCTCATAAACAACATATAAATGACTGCTGCAATCTTTCACTCTGAGGGAGCATGGAGTTTAATTTCTTCCTGTGCCCATATTCCTATTTGCATTCACTATCCACATTCAAGTTTACTTATACAATACATGTTGTTATGACAAATAAATCAGTCCACTTAGCCTTGGGCAGCCTTTCAAGTGTAAGTATATTGAAGTACACTTTAATGGGGATCATAACATATAATATGTCATGGATCTCAGCAGTTGTCCTATTCCAAGGATTGTTGAAAGAATTCATCTCATGGTAGTGATGCTTTCATTATTTCTCTGGGATGTAGAATATCAAAACCTCCAATCACCCTCCAGTGGCATGATGGCATTCACTTGCCTTCAGGTATTGGCTGGTATCACCAGTCTCTCACTGCAGTTTTTCAGCTGTCCATTAAAAATGAAGAAAGGAGGCAGTGTGAGGTATCATCACACTTGTATCAGTTGCAGATTGAGTTTCTCTGAGCTACTAAATATCTTTTATATTTATACAATAGAATATTTCCCAAACAAGATTGAGAGTGCTTCTTGTACAAATAATATGCTGCTTAAATATAGTTGACTTGATCCTACTTGCATCCTGAATATGCCTTTCCCATATACTGAATGGGGAGCTAATGGTTATGCACTCCAAATTATTGGAGTGCCACCCTTTGTCATTTGGACCACAAACATCTAATCTGAACCTGAGTGATCTTTCTTTACTTGAGTACTGTGGAACAGTCCCTTTTGGAAGAAAAAAAGTTTTCATTTATCATTCTGGAATTTTATCACAAAAACTGGATACTCAAAAAACACTTGACAAGCCTTAAAGAGAACATGGTGCAAAAGTTCAATACTTTTTATTAGCATTGCTGTGGGAATGAATGTTTAAAAGTTTATTAAAATGTTTTAAAACTCTTCATTTTTGCAGATGACGAGAGAAAAATTCTATGAGAGCTAATATAGAAGAAAACTATTTAGTAATGTGCTTATTCCATGTACCCATCTTTCCCCCTGTCCCTGGACTGCCGTTACATGAGATAATAGAGATGGAAGAGTGACATGGGGCAGAGTTATGGCTCAGTCTTCTAAGCATGATCACTAACAGGATCAGGTGGGAGCAAAGGCACTCAGCACTGCAGGATAAAGACTTTTGAAAGATGAGATATTCAAAAGAAAGGTTGGACACAGGTTATCTGGCATCCTTCCAGTGTCATCAGTAGAGCTGTGATGACTGAATGAAAATTTGACCCAGACATCTAGCTAACTTTCCATTTCATTAACTCAAAACCAGATCTGTGCATGATCCCATGCTGTGGGTAGGCTGCAGAGAGCATTCCAGGGATCTCACTGAATATCTATTGCTTTTGCTCCCAGGAATCTGGTGTCCTCATTTGTCACTGACTACCCCTACTTACCTCCCTTCACCTGGTTCATCACTGGTGGGTGATGCTGATCACAGAAGAGGATGAGTATCTTTCCTTTCATCACCACCAACAGCATGAGGAAACTGAAACATGAACATTATTTATTATCTCAGATCCTTTGAAACCAGAAATCAGATGAAAAATGCAATAAAAGAAAAGTTAGTTGCTATCTGACTCAAGAAAAATGACTAAAGCTCTCTTTTCCTTCTGTTCCTAACAGAGGATAAATAAAAGCCTTTGAAAGTGAATTGTATATTAAAATCTCAACATCTATAAGCACTATGCTATAGTGCTATATATACTAAAAACCGTAATTCTTGTTTTTGAGCAGAACCAATATTTATGATTTTATACCTCAAAGATTCTCAAAATCTCAATTCTCAAAAATATTTTGACAAAGATTTTATTACCAAGACATTTCCTGCAAGGGAAGAGTTGTAGAATTCTCTTGGACAAGTAACTCCTGCTTAATTATAATTAATTATTGTATTAAAGTAGAGCAGATATGCGAAAGCACCTCAATGCTCCATTGTATTGGGCAGTCAATTCACACATACACAAAGCAAGAAACACCCTTGTCAGATCAGATTCTGATCTGAACACAGAGGAACAGCTGGTTAGATAAGAGGAACATGTACAAAGTCACGAAACAAATAGGCACTGGACCAGCAACCTGAATCCCTAAAAGAATTCCTCTCCCATGCTGCTTGATTATAAGTATGAGAAAAATTTTAAGGACCCTTTTCTAGGCATAAAGTATTTTCACTACAAAAGACCACCAAATGTTGGTCCAATAGCAGAAACAAAGGATGTCAACAAAAATATAAAAGAGTTGTTATCTTTTTCTTAACCTGCATTGCAGCATGCAATTTACAAATTTAGAGGACAGTAAATGAGGTTGTAATGAGCAAGCTAGTCACTAAACTTTCATACTGTGTCTTGTTAAATGGATGCACTAGATCCATGGTTTTCAATGAAGGTTATACAGGAAATTTTGAACTGTTGTATTGTAAAATCAGAACCATGACAGGAGAGTGAGGAAAAAAAATGGTGTTCTATTAAGAGAAACCAAAATGTTGAGTGGATGTAATTTTCAAGGAAAAAATCATATATACCGAGTTTGAAGTTCTTGGATGAAGGATTTTTTTTTAAGGAAATGAAGTAATCATGCTATCAAAAATGTAGCACATTTCTTGTTCATAGAACCAGAGACATTTATTATTTTCTTTAACATTACATCCATGTAAACTCCAGGAGGACCTTCAATCTCTAGAGAAAAGGAGTCTGTTTTATCAGGTGGGAAATAATAAATGTCATCACAAAAAAACACAGCAACACAATTATATTTAACAGTCTGCTGACACTCACTCACAGAAACAGTGACAGAGGTTTTTATTTTGGAATGACCTACGGGTTCATTTTAGAAAGCACCTTTCCAAAAAGCCAGTGTTTTAGCTCATCAATTTGTAGTAGCAGTAGTAGGAATAATGAAGTTCTTGTTCCTTGTAATAGAAATACATCGAATCCATGTTCAATGAGGCACGGACACTGTACGTTTCCCCTTGGAGAATAGCAATTGAAGCAGTGAAGTGAAAACTTCTACTCGTTACTTTTTCACACAAAGAGCAGTTTTTGTGCGTATTTACAGCAGAGCTTGTGGGTCCAAGATGAGTGTTAATAATGCCTCTTTCTGCTTAGTGATTCTTAACTGGAAATGGTAAGAAACAAATTATCTGCTCTGGTAAGAGCCAGAGAAAGGGGAAATAATGAAAAATACCACAACCAATAATATTTAGTTTGGAAAGAGAAATAAGAAGTCTGTTTCAGAAGTATTCAAAAGTGAAGAATTATAGTAAAAATTAGAATTATTTTGTATTTTTCTTCCTTTTTGGTCTAATTGTTTGTTTTTTGTGGGGGGGAGTTCATTGTTAGTTTGTTTGGGTTTGTTGGGGTTTTTTCTTTGGTTTAAGGATGCTATGCTAAGTGTGGTTTTGTGGGAAAACAGAGAACTGAAGATACATTTGCCACATTTCAAAAAGATGCATTTTCAATTGCTTTATAAATATCTAGATGTCTCAGAGTAGGGCCAGCTACAGGATGGACAGCAGGAACCCACATGTCTAAAAGCATTGCTAAATTCTATAAAGTTCAAAGGAAACTGAAATGTACAAAATATGTAGCCCTTACATGAACTTCTCAGAGAACCTTTATGTTATTATAAAGTGAGCCTATAAGTAAGCTGTCAAGGGGCTTTTTATGAGGGCAAGTGATGATAGGACTAAGTGGAATGGCTTCAAATGGACAAAGATCAGGTCTAGATTAGGTATTAGGAAGAAACTCTTAACTTTCAGATTGGTGAGGCACTTCAAAGGCTGCCCAGAGAAGCTGTGGCTGCCCATCCCTGACAGTGTTCAGGATGAATGGAGCTCTGATCAACCTGGTCTAGTGTAAGGTGTTCCTGCCACAGAAGAGGGAACTAGGTTTTATATAAGGTCCCTTATAACTTAAGCCATTCTATGATTCTGTCCTTATGTTCCAGAGCTTAATATCTGTTTTTTCAGACTACAGGTTTTGTCAGCAGCTTAATAGATTATTCATCATCTACTTTATATTCATATTATAGTTTCTATTGATTGCAGAAGTTTTTGTCTCTTCCTCCTTCCTTCTGCATAATTTTGAGAAAGTTTTTTTTCCAAAAAAAGTAAGAGATATAGAATTCTACCTGATAATTTCATTAATTATATGTGTGCATATATATTTTCTTAGATTTCTAATGATATTTTGCCTTTAAAGGCATTATATAATTTTCTAAGAAAAGGTATAATGAAAATTATTTCTGGAAAAAGTTTTAGTTAAACTGTTCAAGGTTCCTAATTTGAACATGCTTTTTTAAAACTTCAAACTCTAAATAAACGCATTTTTTTTAAAAAAAAATGAAGAATGAGACAAGTGTTAGACTGGGAATAGTTTCTGAACAAAGCACAAGAATGGAAAAAGATCAGAATTCTTCTCCTCTTTGTTTTCCTTTAAGAAAAAAGGTAAGCAAGCAAATGCTGCAGCATTTCTCAACTGAGACCCTAAAATTGATGGGTTTAAAAGCCCCTGAGAACCATTTATCTGTCTGCAAAAAGAATATCAAAATACCAGCTTCAGAGCTGTTGTGAAGTTCAAAGTCTTCTAAGGCCTTTTATTGAAAGATATAAAGTATTATTATTCACTGACCGATTTGCAAACATATGCTGTTGCTTTAAACTATTTTTATTTTAAGTGACTGGAGCAAGTAAGCATATGTCTACTAAAATTAATGTTTCTCATATGACCCTCTTCTTTCTTTGTCAGACAGCTCTGCAGCATATCATGAAGCAAAACCTATTAAGACACAATGCCACTATGTCTGACAAATGGAAAGAACATGTTTTCCAAAGTTCACTGTTCTTCTACATTCTAAAATTGAACCAAAACTACTTATCTCACTTAAAATCTGAAAGAAGACATTACAAAATACCCTTTAAAAAGCCAGATTCATTTATATTTTTAATACTCTAGAGTAAGGGCATATTAATATCTACTGATTACATTCCACCTATTGATATATTCTATCCACACGTCTATGTTTACTAGCATATGTTCTGATTGTGTTGGATTATTTTATTCCTTTACCCTTCTGTTACCTGAACAGTAAGAGAATAGTTCTGTTTTGCTTACATGGTACAGAGACGCTGTGAAAACCGGGTCATTTGCCATAAACCACTGAAAAACACTAAAATTGAAATTGGTTCTGTGATCAGGGAGCCATTGTGCTCAGAGCACAAAACAAGCTACAGAACCTGCCTTGGGGAATTTAGAGAATTTATCCTTGAGGTAAGTTTGACAGAGATGAGTCCCCAGAGACTCATCTTCTAGCTGCAGGCTAATATCAGACAGACATTTCTTGTATTCCTGCTCCATTTCAATAGAAAACTTGTTTTCCTACTGGATTTCATTGCACTGTCACCCTGAAGACCTCCTGCACTTTTTCTCCTGCACAGCAACTGCAGCTGTTGCCATCTCCTTCTCACCTTCCAGCACCTACCCAACACCACCAGTCCATCACCCAGAGGAGTCTACTTGGTTCCTCTTAAGAGTATGGATCACTAAGCAAGTTTATTTTCTTCATCAAAAGAAATTTACTGAATTTTTTTTAAGTCTTACTTACTTCCATGCATGCTATTTGACAGAAGAGCAAATTTAATTTAAAAGATCAAAGGTCAAGTCAATCTACAAATGCTTTACACTGTTCACTTCTAATATTGTGTACATGTATTCCCAGACCTCAGGCTAATAGATATTATAGGAAAAGTAAACCAGGATTTTTTAAAAAAGAATACTTCTTTTGATATTCTATGTTATAAATTGCATCGTTTCAGAAATTAACTGTACAGTAGTGGAAAATTTTTCACACTTCTTCCTATGTATCTCCTTTTCCTTCTCCGAATAGATTATTTTCTTTGCAATATTTTGGGCTCAGGAGAAATATAAAAAAATATATGTAATGCAATATTTTTCATCATATTTTTAATAATATTGATTTTATTATTTAGTTGGTTGAAAAAGAGGAACTTCCTTGGTTAGTTACGTTTCCCTGCAGAGATGTTACTTAAACTTTTGGACTCACAAAATATTATGTGAAAACTTTTTACCTCATGTTAGCTTTGATTTTCCTTCAGCAGTATGGAGTTCCTGTTTTAAAAATGACTGTAGACATTCCTTTAATCCAGCTAAGAACTTTCTGGAGAAGGTTTCCTACACCTAGGTAAGTTACCAGGCGATTCCCTTGTGACATGAATTTAGAGATATCAAACAGGGAATGTGTGAGATAGCAGAAATAATTGTTTTCTGATCCTGAAGAGGTTCCAAATGCGATGAGACTGAGAAGGAAGAAAAGCCATATGAGTACCTTGTTTTTCAAAGCATTTAATGATTAAACAACTGTCATGTGAAAAGGGGAGTTTTCTTCAACCCTTAGTGTGAAGAGATTTATTTGACCCTTAGTGTTTAATTTGTCTGTCAGCACCCCAGGAAAGCTGAGACCCTTGTGCCCAGCCAGTCTGCCAGTGTCCCGTTATGGGGACCCTTCACTGAGCAGTCCTGCTGGATGGGAGGGCAGGACTGCCTTGTTTGGGGACACACACCAGCAGCAAAAGGGAAACCTCTCAGTTGCTCTTCCACTGTATTTGAATATGCTACTGCCAATGGCTGCCAGTGCCCATGAAGGACTCACACCAACATTATTTATGAATATAAAATTGTGACAGATTTAGTTTTGATAGGTGCTGGTGATAGTATCTGACTTCAAAAATGTATTTAAACAATACACAGACAAGCTCTAATCCCTGATAAAAATATTCAGTGTGCATAGAGCGTGGTTCTTACACAATAGGTGTCCGTACAGGGGAGAGGACAGGTTCAGCGCATTGACTGAACCCAGCAGTTAAAATGGAGACTTCCCTAACATTCCCTCGTTCTCAGCTAGATTTTACACTCCTTATGTTTAGTTGGAGTGTGAGTGACTCTAGTCATAAATGACTTTGTTACTGATTGGTGTAAATTTTTCTTGCTTTGTTTTCAAAGGTACAGAGCACATAGTACATGCCCAGTGAAGGAGTGGTTGTACCATGGAGATGAGTAACTTTGGGATGGAGGTGTGTGTTAATATTACAGCTGGGTTACAATGAACCAAGTTCATCTGAGGAGAGATTTCGCCACAGCTGTTGGCTCAGCAGCAGGACATCTCCTCCCCTCTCTGCCCTGGCTGACAGGTGTTGTGTGGTTTATCAGCTGTAAAGTACCATCAGGTTCCTTTCCCTTCAAGGACTTCAACAGAGCCTGGCCACGGTGTCTCCACTCTGCTCCACCCTCTGTTCCATCCCTTTAGCAGGTGTGTGTGTAAGGGAACCACTGTGGAATAGGTTTTGAACATGCCAACTGCATTACAGACAGGGAAAGGCAACTGTATTTTACCCTAAAATTCCTGTAGCTTTATAAATTCTTAGGATGTAAATATAATTCCTTGGTTTCATCTGATTTTTTTTTCCAGTCATCTTTCCACAACAACATTAATTAAAACAACACTTTTTCATCTTTTCCTTTCTACAAGAAGCAACATAGATTCCCACTGATAGGTCTTGCAGATCAAAGCTTGTATGGCAGGAACAGGAATGCCTGTTCCAAGCTCTGTCTTCCTTCTCAGATTTTAAAATAACAGGATTCACATCTTCATGGCCAGGTCACTATTAGAAGATTACTAAAGACTACACCAGATAACTGAAGTTTTATATCTCACACTGTGGGGCCAGATTTACAGAGCCCTCTAGGTTTCATGATATAATTTTAAAACACTCACCCCCAAAAAAATTTTTTATTTTTTTAAACTTTATACATACATACAGCAAACATTTTCAAAATTCTTTCTTCTGGAAGTGTTTATGACTTAAGATTCTTTATCAGAGAGGTATTCAAGAAACATAAAGCTTATTCAGGTGTGGTACTTTAACATTGCCTTCAACAACAGTTGACTCTTCAATTTGCTCTACTATAGTTCAGGGCTCATTAACATTTATATTATAAGCCTTGATTAATCTGGCTAAGGATATCTGTTACCAGCCACACATTTCAAAACAAATGTTTTCAGCCTTGAATATATTTTAATTCATTATTACAAAATTTTTAATGGTTGACTGGTTGAAAAAGTATGTTATTCAAGAATAAGATACAGTGGTTCAGATTCAATGAAATATATAAAGATTTGTTCCTAATATAAAAGCTTTTTTTTTTTCATAATTTCTAACTAAAAAAAAAAAAATTGGTTAAAGAATACTTTTAGGAAAACATTCAGTGTTTTTTTCAATTTATAAGAACACAAAAAAGGCCAGAATACAGTTTTATGTGCTGCAGGGTCCTGCCTCCAACAAGGGACAAGAAAAGATGTTATGTGGAACTCTGTAGTCTCCATTTCACCCTGATGGAAACCATTGCAAGCACTCAGGATCAGAGATACTTAGGTAATTTCCTTGTGAAAAAACATACTTTAAAAATCCTCATAAATCTACATCACTGATTTGTAGAGCTTGGCAAAAGTGTGAATTTATAAAGACAAAATCGTGCTTGACCAACTCGAAAGCTTTCTATTATGAGGTGAATAGATTGGTGCATGAGGGGAGAGCAGTGGTTGTTGATTACCTTCAGTTTGGTGAAGGCTTCAACACTGCCTCCAGTCATTTGCTACTGTCTCCATTAACAACCATCATAAATAAAGTATGGCTTACATAAGGGGACAGTGCAGTACATTGAAAACTTGATGAAAAACAGGTCCAGAAATTTGTGATCACTGGTACAAAGTGCAGCTGGGGGCAAGCCACAGTGTACCAAGGGTCGGTACTGGATCCAGTATAGTTCAGTGTCTTCATTAATAACCCGTGCTAGGGAACACAATACACCCTCAGCATGTTCGCAAACTACACAAAAGTAGAAGCACCAGATGGTTGTGCTGCTTTTCAGAGTGACATGGATAGTCTGGAGAGCTGGGAAGAGACAGCTCTCATGACATTCAAAAAGAGTAAGTTAGAAGTCCTGCACCTGGGGAGAGATAAGCCTATGTTGCTATGCATGCTGGGGCTTGACCACCAGGAAAGCAGATGAATGGAAGACCTTGGGGTCCTGGTGGACAACAGGCCATAAATGGCAAGAAAGGCCAATAGCCTTCTGGGCTGCATTAGGCACAGCATTGCCAGCAAGTCAGGGGAGGGGATCAGTCCCCTGAGCCCTAGTGTGGGTGTATCTGGAATTCCCCAGCACAGCAAGTGTTATGCACTTACTATGGCAACCCCAGCACAAGGCCACAAAGCTAATGAAGGGACTGCAGCATCTCTCACATGAGCAAAGGCTGAGGGAACTGGGGATGTCCAGCTTCATAACAAAAAGGGTCAGGGGAGTTTTGTATAACTACTTGATGGTAGGGAAGGAAATCAGAAAAGAAAAGGAAATCACTCTTCTCATTTGTACCTACTGGCAGGACATGAAACAACAGGAACAAATTGAAACACATTTATGAAAATACATGTTCTGTCTGAGGAGAAGAAAGGGTATTTTTTTTATTCTGAGGATAGTCAAACACTGAAAAAAGTACAAAGAGTCTTAGGTTCTCTGTTTGGTTCATACATCTGTAACTGCTGATATGTTTGAAGATTGCTGAAAGGAAGGTGATGGTTAAGATGCACCAATAGCCAATATCCTCATGACCAGGAGACAAGTTTGTCAGAATATGAGAGACCTAGGTCAGGTTTATGTAGCAAAGATTTGATTATCAGCATCTCAAATAGTATATGAAGAATCCCATCATCAAATGCATTTTTTGTGTGTTTGTGGTAAGCTTGCCTACAGGGTATGTCCAGATGGAGCAGAAATCCCAATTTTGAGATATCTCTTCATGATATAAAGGATAGTTAAAGAAGATTTCTTTTATGCCCCAAGGAAACTTTGTATAGTTTGGGGGACTGGATGGGGAAAGCAGCTGCCTAGGGAAGTTAGCTTCATGGGTCTTTAAAAACAGAATGGCTTCATAGATGTCGTATTATGGATGATGTCTAAGCATCTAGGTATCTAACAAGGCAGACACAGACTAAGAATCTGGGTCTAAATTCAGTGAAGTATTATGACCTACCAAGATTTAGAGGTCATAATTCTTAAAAGTGTCAGAATTTGCCAAAATGAGTTTTACTATTTCATTTTCTTTAATATAAAGCAATTTCAGGTATTTACAAAGACAACTGGCCTTTGGAGTGATTTCAGTTATTAGCCCTTAGAGTGCATTAAAGCTACATTTTAGACGGAGATTTTCTACTGTTTTTTTTAAAGTTTTGCGTCTCATCATGCCATCTCTTGAATATTTCAGTGCTTAAAATTTAAAACTCCCAACACAGTTCCTTGCTGGTGTTTCCAAGTCAGCAAATTAGCAACACAACACATGTTATATAGGGAATAGCTCAGCAACAGAATCAAAGCCCCTCAACATTCTCCTTATTTTAGATTCATTCTGGCTTACTCTGCCGGATGCAAACCAAATGACACATCATAAACCTCAGAGACTCTTTTGTAGTTTCTGCTCAGACTGGAGAATTCCATCTGCTCTATTAAGGATCATTAACAACCAGGAAACTATTTCAGACAGTTTTCGTAAAACCTAAAAGACAAAATTATTATATTATTATAATTAGTTGTTTTTTTCTCATCCAGCCTGAATAGCTTTAATCAGCAACTGGCAGGGGAAAACTCCATGGGACCCAAAGGTCTCATTAAATTACATTGGGAGGATTCTGCACGCTCAACTCATGGTGAAAGGTAAATGCTGCCATAACAGTGAACTGTCTTTGGGACCAGAGTATAAATTGTTTCACACTGCATTTTAAAGAAAAAAAGCTTATCCTATGAGGGAAAAAATAAAAAGGAGAGCGTGCAAATTATGTCTGAGAAAGTAGTAAACATACCTACAGAGAATCCAGAATCACACAATGCAATAAACATTTACATCTCTAGGACCTGAATATAAAAAGATTGTATTTACCTGTTCTGAAGAATGTCTCCACTTCCTCTCAAGTGATATTCTCAAATGAACTCCACACTTCCTTCAAATTTTACACACTTAGCTCTTCATACAGAAGGCACATGTACTTTTTCAAACTTAATATACGTCATATTTTACATGTGTAATATTATTGCCTGAATATTATTACCTGAATACGGTGTTTTCAACACTTTATCATCACAAAGCTAGAGAGTTAATCTTTCCAAATCTAACACAGCATTTATGCCTCCTTCTATCATAAAGGACTTCAGCATATGGAAGCTACTCTAACATAATATATTAAGCAACTCAGTCTCAATGAAAATGAGTTGCATGGCCAAGATCCTCCTTTGTAATACCAGTAGGCAATTAAGTCTCTGAATATGCAAAATTATTCAAGAGGAAGCAAGGATGGAGAATATTATATTGTTTATGCACACCAAATATAACAAATTGTTTATGTTAGACAAGTTATTAATTTATAATTTTATTTCTTTACCAAGCAAGCATACAATTAACTCCATACTACCTTGTCAATAGCAGATATCTCAATATTTTAAAAAATTTGAATCAATAGTATTTCAGACTAAAAGGGGCAGGTAATTAGTTTATTAGTGTGACCAGTTCAATAACAGTCAACTAGTAAAACATGTGATTTCAATATGACTTTCTTATTATTTATTAATTTTTTAAAAGGTTGTGATTCAGTAAATCTCAGCATGTTTTATCACTGAAGTAGTTATATACAAATCTGTGCAATAATACATTTGATAAAAGTTAACTTACCTTCTTCATTTGCAAGAACTGCCAAGAATGACTTGTGAAGGGATCATGAACATATTACAATGCTTAATATTTCATATTTCTCTTTTGGTTGTATTGAGAGATGCTGATTTATTTTTCTTTTTCAATCATAATGTGTTCATAGGAAAGATTTTTAGAGATAAAACCTTCAGGTTTCTAGGAAAAGTGTAATAACAAACACTGGAGAATGTGCTTTTGCTTTAGCTAATATGAATACTAAATAATCCATAATACTTCTGGATTTTTTTCTTGTTGTTTATAGTTACCTAAGCATCTTTATCTAAACAAAACCCAAACACAAGCAATACTTAAAATGCTATTAGATTGTCCTAGTGTTCTCTAATAGTAGCACATGCAATCCCTTGTTTCCATCTCTGTATCTGAAGAAAGGTTTTTTACATATGCTCTCTGTTATTATGAAATATAAACAATGAAATAAGACATCTGGCTTATAGGAAAGCTAAAATTTCTTTACTTAATAAGCTTTACTATAGGAGTTTCAGAATTCTAAATTTCAAAATTCACAAGTTTCAGAAGAATCCAATAAATGAAATTGCCCAATAATTAATTTAGACTTAAATTTCCCATTTTCTTATGCAAATTTCACAGAAATTGAGACTACCTCCAAATTTAGTCTTGTTTATAATGAAATTAATGCCAGACTTACATGATAAACTATGACTATAAATAGTGGGAAGCTAGTAAGAGTCTAAAATACGACGTACTTAAACCCTTAGGACAGACAGCTAAAAATAAAGTAGGAATATGGAAGTTCTTCATATAAGATTTAGAAACAAGATATTCAAGAAGAGCTGTAGCAGACATAAAATGACTGAAGTTCACATAATTAACTGTTAACTCACATTTTTACCATTTTCTCAGTGGATTGATTCCATTCCCTCAAACAAGCTCATTTTGCTTAAGCAGACAAGGGGTTTTTGGAAAAAAGATCAAGACAGCCAAGAGCCTAGAAGACATGCTTGAAATTTGTCCATCTCTGCTTCCTGAGAGAAGGGATAACAACTGTTGAGTTTTTCAGAGGTGATTATTTTTTATCAACTTACCTCCATTCCTTTGGTTAGAAAATCATATGCAGTCCACTTAAACCAGGCTTGATTGTCTTTGATTGTATCCATTATTCATGGGCATTCACTAAAACATTAGATGAGTGTTTTCAGAGATGGCTTGTGGGCTTCTGGTATTTGGTGTTAGTCAGATGCATTCAGTCACGTGTGATAGTTTCTGCTCTAAAAATGGGTAACTATTCTGTTATGAAAATCACACAATGTCACATTCCCAGAGTGTCCTGTTGATGACAGTTATGTGTACTAAAACAGATTTGAATTTCAGATGCACTATCCTTCCTAGCCCAGAGAATTGACTAAAGTTAAATTTAAAATGTATGTTGATGATTTTAGAAAGAAAAAAAGTACAATTTCTGAACAAGTGAGTAAATAATTTTGTTTTTAAAAAATCCATATAGAATTTGAAATCTCTCATTTGCCATTTTCCAGGCTTGTGGCTGATGTCAGCTTTCACTTTGCATTATCTTCCTATTAAAACCATTAGGGATGTCCTATAAGGACTTGTGTGTGTGTCTCTGCCTCATACATTTATTAAACTAAAATGATAGTAAGTATCAAAGTCACTCAAATGATTATTGTATGTTGCTGCCCAGAGGTATTCATTCTCAGCTAAGGTTCAGTAATTTTTCAAAGATCAAGAAATAATCCATCTAGCCACAAAACCAGACATAATTTCCAAACTGGAATTAGGACTGGTCAGAAAATGTTAATAATTATCTAAGAATGAATAATCTGATTTATTTCCAAAATAGAATATAAGAGGTGACCAGAACAGTGGCACAACCCTAGAAATAAATTAAGGCAACAGGTAAGACTTATTTAAGTTCAAAAGAAATCATTCATCATGGATTTATCACACAGATTTTTCTTTGTTCTTCTTCTTTTAATAAATATTTATTACTTTTGACTATACTTATTTTTAGTTTTTAGAATTGACTACTCTGGACTACATTTTTTTTAGTCTATCTTCTAATGTTAACGTGTTATAACATGGTTCATATAGAGTGAGCCCTCTTAAAATATTACAAGACAGAAAAGTGCTTTGCATCCATAATATATTACATACCCACTGATTTCACTGGCATCTTCATTAGTTCCACTAATTAGCTTGTTTCTATGTGTATTGATTCTTTTAATTGACTTTAGCAGAATTCTACAAACTCATTTAGTGTCTTAATAGACCGTATATTTAATAGCTCAGTAATTTATTCAACCTGTTAGGCATTGCTCTTTGACATTATTGCCCATTATAACAAATTCTCCTTACTTGTAACAAACACTAAACAAATGGCAAAAGCATTCTGGCAGTCTGATCCAAATATTCAAGATTTATGTAAACAAGATTACCTTTTATAATCCTTGCTGGCACAGTATTTACACATTGGGTAGATTAATGGTTCTCACTTCTACATCTGGAGATCACTGAAGTTCCTTCACAACCAACTTTATTTCCCTTTGTCTCTGCCTAATTGAAGATAACTGCTCTATACAACTGTTCAAGGCATCAAGCTGTGAAAACTCCTCCAGACAAAAAAGGGGATGGTCCTTGTTTGTCCAGACTGGTGTGATATAGCTGAATGATGTGATTGGAAAATATGAACTAAACTCACAGATTTATGAAAGTACATTACAAAGTTGAAATGTACTGTCATAACAAAACACAAAACAAAGCAGTACTTTCTTGAATTTACTGCAACACGTAGCTGTCAGAGCATCTACCAGTGATGATATCTCGTTGGTAGAGATATAACAAGAAGACAAAGACCATTACAGAGGTGAATGAAAAGAATTTTAGAGACAAAATCTTTTGTTTAACCCTCCCAAGGTTCCATTCTTCAATACTAAGGATTAAACAAGTCAGGACAAAGCACATTTTCCCCAACACAAGCATGTTGTACTACCCTATTCCATCTAATATCAGTTCCTTATGTGCTCTCCCAAAGTTATCCACATCTAATCAAAGAAAAATTACTATACTTCTACTCATTAACACAGCAAAGCAGAAATATGAAATATCAACTTTTTTTCATTTGCCACAACCTAAAAGAATACACGTGAACTTTTGTCATAGTTGTCTTGAAAAATTATCTCTTTTTTGACCACTGCAACCTGATTACTGGGTTACAGTTTCATGATTGTTTAATGACTTGTAATTGCTACAAAATTAATCTCTGTGATCTCCCATGTAGGCCAAGTTCTGTTTATTATCATCAATATTAGAAGCTATGCCCTATTTTTTTAGTACTGCCTTGTCTCGTCACTCTAGTGTTATCCCCTGTTGGAAGGCCCTTTTTCATATTAAGGAACATGTAAATACAAGGAGTACTGTACTGCCTCACAACAGCTGTCCTTCTAGCACAATAGTCCTTCCCTGTCAGGGGCCATAGGGGGTATCACTTAGGGAGAACCCTGCCAGCATCTAACATCTATTCCTGTCTTATGCCTCCAACAATTATTTTTAGATTCCTCGTGGAACATTTTGATACCTGACCATTCTATGTTTCTGTATTGAAATATTTTGTTCACATATCAGCTTTTGAACTGAGCATCTTACTCTTCCTCCTCTCTCCCTTTTTTCCATATTCCTTCTTCTTCATGTTCTGAATCCTGTCATGGAGTTACTTTACTTTTAAGGGAGTTGGAGTTGCTAGGAAGTGCTTGGAGTCTTTTCTCCTGACCAATTATCGGTCATTGCTGGGAATTGACAGCAGTTTAGGCCATTGAAAAGTGGGATCAACTTGTGAACCCTACCTTAAAATGTAAAAGCAGAGCTTTCTGGGCTCTTTTTGTTTTCTGTCTGTGGAGGGTGGCGGAGCTCCAGGCCTCCCGTCCCTGCCCAGGCCATGCGGCCGGGCGGGGCTGGGGCCGGGCCTGCCCCGTCTCCAGGCCGGGAGATGGGGGGGCCTGGGGAAGGTTTTCTCCGGGCCGGGCCGAGCTGGGCCGATCTCTGGCTCGGCTGCAGGTTTTGCTGTAACTAAATTCACTAGAAACTGCCCAGTGAAGAAAGAGGGAGGCCCTGGACTTGCAGCGGGTTGGAGCAGAGACTACACGCTCCAGAGCAGCCATGAGGAACCTTCCATCGCAGACGGCTCCAGCTCCTGTTCGGCAGAGATCTCCGAACCATCTACAAAAGCCTGGGCAAGATGTTAACTCTTTCATTACCCAGATGAGACTTGCGGATTAATCTTTTTATCCAGAGAGAGAGAGAGAGAGATCAACATGAAAAGAGACTTTATAAACTACCAGTGACAGGAAAGAAAAGAAGCTTCAAGAAGAGAATTAAGAAGGTGCTTTAATTAAGCTGAAATATCTCCCTGTTAAAACTATGGAGATAGACAATGAAGTCTTGAAAAGAACTCCTTTAATTCATGATATAGGATCTAGAGAGGAATAGTGTTCAAAGTGTAAATTTGAGTAAAGAGTAATTATAGTATAGTGAAGTACTGAGAGATTAAAAGCCTTGAGAGGCCATGAGAAAACTGTTTTCTGGTGAAGCTCACAGAAACAGATGAAGAAGACTTTTTTTTTGCCTTTGAATAACTTATCCTTAAAAATGCTATCTCTAGACGCATGGCCCATACATACTTCAGAGTGATGTGAAAATGGGAAGAGTGAACTCTAATAATAGCAGCTCTGAGCAGCTAACATTAGAGCAATAGAAAACTATAACAAAAATAGTTTTCTTGTGAGAAACTCCATAAATTAACAGGAAGAAACTTCTGTTTCTCTATAAAGATTGGTAAAAAGACTAGCAAGAATTAAGACTGTTTTAACCATCAGAGTTCCAGAGTTTTTGTCTCTGTTGTCATGTGAACAAGGGAATAGTGAGTAGATAAGAGATGGAAAGGTTTTTCTGGAAGTTTATTCTGGTGTTCTTATTATTGTGGTTTGTCAATAAACTTTCTTTTTTTTCCCTTTTAAGTTGTATGCCTGTTTTGCTCTTATTCTAATCCATATCTCACAGCAAGACGTAAGTAATTTTCTTAGTTAGTAGTTTAAAACCACGACAAATCCTTTCCAATTTTTTCTAAATCTTTACAACTTTAGGCTTCAGAACAGCATGAAATAGTTGCAGCAACATAATCAAAAAAGGCATATCACTTACTTCATCCTGATGTTCTCCTGTTCTAAAGCTCCTAGCAACATACAGACATTCCGTGTTCAGCTAATAATCTATTACTACCTCTCAGATATCCCTTTGCAATGGAATGACATGACAACTTTCATTCATTGGTGGCCTCAAGTCTATTCTTCTGGAACATTCATCTGTGGTATCCTGTATCTCTGTGGAATGCAGACTAGACTGGACTTGATATGCGAGGTGTACTGGTTTATAGAATATTTATATCTTACTTCTTTCTAAAGGCTTTTAAAATTTATTTATATTCAGTAATTTTCTTCATCTTTGAGATTAAATTGGTTAAAAGCAATTGTCTTTTACAAGCTAAACTGTTGTGTTATTGTTCCAGAATCTGCTAATCCTGATTTCTGCTCTGCAGCACACTACCATGAGACAGCATAAAGTAATCTTGTCTTCAAGGAACAGACACCTTTGCATTTGTTCCATCAAATTTTCAGCTTCCTATAAAAGCCAGGTATTTCCTAGAACTCTGCCCAATTCAAAGAATGGATCTTTGCCTGATACCACTTTTACTTACTGGTAATCAGTACTTTTGTTAACAAAGGCTGAGGAGATGTATACTCTTTTCTTAAATAAGCTGCTTTAAAAATAGGACAAACAAATGTGATAAGATGGATGATGATAATTCAGAAACTCCAGATAAAATTAGTTATGGCTGGATATTTTATTATTTTATTTCTTAGTCTATTAAGATTCTTTTTGGTGATGACCATTACTGAAATCTCTTGTCACTTACAGCTTGTTATCTGCAAAACTCATTAGTGTTACTTAGGTGTTATATCTTCTCCCTGTTTTCCTCTTACCTGCTGTGTTGTTTTCACATGACCTA